GATGGCCTAATAGTTGCATCACTGGATTTATGCATTGTTGACCACGGTTGGAGTCCCAGACCTGGTCACTTAAAACTCATGCTGGGCATGTATGTATGCATGCCCAAGATCCCTAGAGGAGAATGAAGGGATTAAAAAAACAAACAAAAAACACAGTCACAGAATTTCATGTTTCCTTCCTTATAATCAAGTATCCATTTCAATTTTCAGAAAAGATACCTTGAATCTTTTACAGCATCTAAGTGTGGCCATTCCCTGGAAGGCGATTTCTACCTTCTGTCTCTCTATAGTTCTCTGTCTCTCTGGAGAGTGCATGTGCCCTATAGCAAAAATTTCTCTTAAAAAAAGGAAAAAAAAAAAAGAAAAAAGTAAAAAGCCTCAAGGTAGTCACATAGGGGCTGATAGGTGGTGTGGGTGATAAGGGTGCTGGACTCCCACATGGCCAACCACCATTCAAGTTTCAGACCTGGCAGCTTGCTTTCTCAATTTCTCTCTCTCTCTCTCACTCATTCTGTTCCTCTCTGGTCAAATTAAATAAATAAAGTTAAATAAAATAATTCTTTAAATAAAACAGGTAGTCACAGAATTTCATGTTTCCTTTCTTATAATCAAGCATCCATTTCAATTTTCAGAAAAGATACTTTGACTATTTTACAGCATCTAAGTTGCTACCTAACGTAGCTATAAGGAAGATGGAGGAGGAGGTGTCCTATCACTCCAACAAAGGCTGGTCTTCATTTAGCTAGTCTGGATGAGTTGGGAAGAAACATTCTTGGGAGTATGACTCTATGGTCACATGTCTATCACATAAAGTCAAAAGGTTACTTCTACATCTAATTTAAACCATACAATCTAACAACGTATAAGCTTATTTTCCTATTTTTCAAATATAACTAGATGCTTAACATCCCTGTAAATGACCACCATTGGTAAAGTGAAAACACCTTTGGCACATTTGGTAAACCATGAAAAATTACGTTTATAATCATTTTCTCAAGTTAGTCAAGAAAATAATTTGTCATAGTAAAAATAAATATATAAATGCTTCAAGGATATGAACACAAGTTTTGATAAATTCTGATGGAACATACTGGGGAGGTCACATAAAAACCTACTAATGGGACCAGCAGACAGTGTAATGGTTATGTCACTGGACTCCCACATAATTGACCATGGTTCAAGTCCCAGACCTGGAGGCTTAAAACTCACAGGTGTATTTGCATGCATGACCAAAATCCCAAGAAGAGACTAGAGACAGGATTAGTGTGGCCATCCCCCTCCTGGGGTGGGAGATGATTTCTTGCTTTCTGTCTCTATTCTCTTTCTTTCTTTCCAAGGGTGTGTACATGCTCTATAGGAAAACTCTCTTCAAAAACAAAAACAAAAAAAGCCAATAAAACCCTACTAACTGTAATTGTAGTTTTATTAGTAAAATTATTCTAACAGTCTTGTATTTTAAACAAGTTATTTAGAATTATTTCTGGCAGCCTCTTGTATTACACTTGACCTAGACAGCTTTTTAAAGTAACTTGGTACCTATTATAATTATTCTTATTTGAATGCATGAGCACAGATTCTCTCTACTGGAGTGGATTTAGCAATGCTATAATTACAATCCTATAATTGATATTTAAACTTGTGAATGTTCTAAGTTGGCTCATGGCTAATGACTAAGAAGTATTGGGATCAGCAGATGGTGCAATAGTTAGATTCCCGCACTCCTATGTAGTCAACAGTAGCTAGTCAAGTCCTGGACCCAGTGGCTTAACACTGATTCTGTGCATGTATTCTGTCTCAGTCTCTCCTGCAAGAGCACACACCCTATAGCAAAAGTCTCTCTCTAAAAATGAAAATAAAAATAATAATAAAGACTAGCTATATTTGTTAGTATAGGATTTCCTACTCTCATTCAAAACACAGGAAAGCAGAGGTGAGGATGGGAGTAAGAAATACACAAACAAGCATAGGAATTCCCCACACACACTCCCCACAGAGGCTGGAAGTTCCATCATGTATTTCTCAATTGTAATAAACAGCATAAGAATTAACGATGATATTGTTCTCTTTGGCAGTTTCCCTTTGTTACCAGTGGAGAAAGTTAAAGGTTGTACTAAATGAACTAAAAACTGAATTACATGGCTCTCAAGAATTTAAGAAATTATTAAATTTCTCTCAAATAAATGTTTTAACAAGACCTAGGTTTCTAACAATGTATGAGTTAAAATACTGACTTATAAGGTATCCATGACTTAATTTAAAATATAAACAGCCAGAAAGGGTGTATCTCCTTATATCAAACTTTGGTTAAAAACAAATGAAAATCTGAAGCCAGTTTATTTTTCAATCACTTTATATTTTCCTTATATCTCTGTAGCAAAACCAAATCATGAATGTTAAAATCCTAGATCCAAAATTACAAATTATTTCAATAGTGTAGATTTTGATAATTTAAATAAGGAATAAAAATCTTGACAAGTAATTCTAATGTGTGGTTTCAAAAATTGAGGGAAAAGATCTACTTTAACATTTAGCAATTAATTTAGTATCATCCCTATTTTATAATCTTAAGGAAAGTGCTAAGACTTCATTAAACTGTTAATCACAGTAGTTAGATACTTCAAAAGATCTGTGGAAAAAAAATGAAATTAAAGTATGAATTTATTTTAGGGCAAAAAATTTTTGAAATCTATGCAGTTTTTTCCATAAACTTTTGAGACTTCCTAGTACAACGATAGTTAAGTAACAATATGTGACTTTTTAACACCTCCTCTCCCTCCGACTATTAATAATTTCATGGCACCGTGTAAAATGCTCTTCATGAAGACTCTTGATCAGCTTTTGGCTTCTTTCCTTGAAACTACGTCTCCTTACCCTCTTCATGTCTGTTCATTCCAGAGCACCTTAAGTTTCCAGAATGCACTGGCCTTGAACCAGCTCTTCTGCCTTGACATCCTTCCCTACTTCCATTCCTTTGTTAGGTCTTCCTCACTACCCTAACAATCAATCTCCTGTCTCTTAATGTTCCTCTAGTACTTTGTTCATCCATTATAGCATTTCTCACAATAGCACAATTATCTTTTAATAGTCACTCCATACCCACTTTGTAAAGACTTAAAAATATTTTCGAGGGTATTCTTTTGCTCTTAAAAACTCATCTTATGTTAAGATTTTTAAAAAGCATATGAGGAAAAACACTTGTGTCTACATATTCGAAGAATATTGGATCCCTTATAACCTGTTTATTAGACATGTGTTTGTCTAAGATTAAAATAATTAATCAGATCAAAAGGACTGTTTTTAAGTTAAGGATAAAGGACACTAACACTACAAAAAGCTAGGATGATTAAAAATCTAAGATAAGTGGATTTGCTTTAAAGGAGACAAGAGCCAGAAAAGTCAACTGCCCTCAAAAACAGTAACTATATGTTTATCAAACACTCAGCTTCATTTAGGCATTTAATTAAGCCATTTATTGCTTCAAATGTATCACCACGAACATTGTAATATACACTCCACAGCAGTAAGGCCTCGGTTCTCACCACCTATAAATTGTGATTCCACATGTGGATTTTTTTTGTGTGCCACCAATTGTTACATGAGTTTTGTACAATAAATATTTTGAATGTGTATTTTATAATATCCAAAATACTCATTAGACTCCCTGGTGTGAATGTCACAAAGAATAATAATGGTTGGCTACATTTTACTTATTTTTTGGAATGAGGTAGTTCCATGTTTGGCCCATTATATTGCTTGTTCTTTCTCATATTAATAAGGTCTACCTGTTATTAAATACTTCAACAAAAATTTGGTTTCCTTCATTTGTGCTTCATTAAATATTCAGCGTTTGAGTTTAAAACTTGTCAAACTAGTTTACGAGTGATTTGGTAAGAAGCGGGCTTCACACACTCACGGGGGCTATGACAGCTGGAAACAGGAATATCCTTACTTGGACCAGGAGCTTCCTCTCATCAAATAAGGCTGAGCATAAGGCTTGTTCCTTCCACGAGTTCATATTAAATGTCTGAGTTTGGAAATGTCGTGTAAGCCATAACTAGAGAATGGAAATGATACATTGGACTATTTCCGGTGACACACTAAGAAGTTAATGATTTATAATATCTCTATGAAAATATTATCATGAAATTATGATACTCATGATATTATGCGTACCTACAAATGAACCTATCTTTCTGGGCTGTCACAGAAATCAGACTGCTGCAGTTCAGGATCATGGACTCTCCAAGTTGGAAGACTTTTCAAATCTGCTATCTAATTCATCCCCTTTGGGGAGCATTGCATAGATTTTACACTGTTTTCTGAGTAAGTTCTAAAAGGCTCACTAAGTAGTTTTAAATAAAGAAGAAATATGATGGATCCAGTAAGTTTTAAGGTAAAGGAAATATAATTAATATCCTAAAACTTTTAGGGATTTTTCTACTGACCAGAGTTGATTTTATAATTTAAATAAAACCTCCACTATATAAAATTTATAATTTAAATAGCACCTACAGAGTAAAACCTTAGGAGTGCTTTCAAGACAACCTATAGCCAACAATACTCTGGTTTAATAAGACTCAGAGTGATAAAAAATGTGAATTAACTCTTATACCAGTACAAATATATGGTAGAATCAAAACCAGAGCTGGATTTTAAGCTCTAATCGGAGGGTCTCTTTACTCAAACTGGCCACTCTGCCTCCATTCAAAACATTTATAACCATTATTTTCACTGTATCTGCTTTCATTAAGACTTTTCTCCATGGCCCTTAGACTGAAGGAACAGACAGAGAGGTCTAGAAAAATACATTGGCACTTCATATTTACATGAAAAACGTCTTTCCCTTATCCTCATACCACAAATTCTAAATATTATTAAAGAAATCACAAATTACACAACATTCTTTGTCCTGGACCTTTGTCCTTTTTAAATTATGAAAGCTGGATCTTACTTGAAATTAAGAAATTTTCATTATTATGTGTGCAAAGTATAAATACAAGTAATTTTTTAAAAACTTTATTTTAACACCTAATACAATTCCAATTTGAAGGATTACTTGCACAAAAAAATAAACACATTTGGTATAAAAATGTATCACTTTAACACCCTTTCCCCTCTGCCCCGCCCCCACCCTCATGAACTGCACTCTTATGTGGATGCAGAAACATATAAAGACTAATGGCACGAATCAGTTTTGACCTACAGGAGTTTCTGTTTATGTACCCAGGTACTCTAGAGGACACCAGCCCACTTTAATCACATGAACCATTTCCTTCAGCCTGCTGAATTAGTTTCACAAAGAAACGAAGCTTATTATAAAGGTATTTTAAAAACCATTATCTTAAATTCTTTTTAGAAGCACTGACTTTGTTTTGTTTTGTTTTTGCAACCATTTATATACAGTGTTACATAACAGCTCTGGAGTACAGTACATGCAGCAGAATATACCTGTTGAATATAAAATACTTTTCTTAAAATCTTCATCGTTGGAATTCTTCGAAGTCTAAATTAGAGAATGCCCGTTACTTTGAGAAAATGGTTGAGGAATACAAATGTCTGCATATGTTGGCCACTGAAATAATCCAAGGCTAACTGGAATAATATTCATAGCACGCCAGAAGTGCATAAATAATTTACTTACATTATTAAAATACAACCCATAAAATTCAAGTTCAAGATCTTATAGGATTGTCTATGTAAATCCTTTAAGTGGTTGCCTGGAACTGCGGTGTTTCTGCCTTTTTTCTTCTTTGTGAAGTCCTATATAAAACATTTAGCTAAAGTCTTCTTCCTCACACCAAGTGGCCCCTTATTTGTGCCTGCTGCCTCTTCTCTTCATGGCAGCGGTGCACTGAGGACAGTACCATTTTCCTTTGGGTGCTTCTGTCAGCCCAACACAACCATAATGAAACCATTCTATAGGGCACTAGAAAACAAGAGAGTACAGAAGTTTTTAGTAGTCCTAAAGAACACAGAGTGTATTAAAATATGCCCATGAGATTGAATTTCCTATTTAATGATGCAATCAGAATTTTTAGATCTGGATCATTTAGAGATTATTCTGTATAACTCAAAAGCTTTATGGAAGAATTAGAGGCACAGAAAAATGGTGCATCTTCAATACTCTGAAATGTATGTAATCTAGTCTCAGAATCCCAAATAAGGAAATAAAATTGACTAATTTTGATTAACTTGAAATGAAAGTTGATATCAATGTTCAAGGACAAAAAGAAATGAGCCTTTTATGTAAAAGGTAAATGTATTTTAAAGACCTTATTTCATATATGATCTTATTTGCTCCCTAATAAGGTAGAATAAGTTATCTGTAATTAAAGTCATGAAAGGATGCCCTTGGTTTCCTTTCTCGGTGTTATCTATTCCTGGAGATGTAGAGACCAAGTACTTCTCTCTGAAACAAGTTAATAAGCACTTCTACACCTCTGTAGAAAGTCTTAGCATTCAAGAAGAGTACAACTGGGAATGAGAGGAATCACAAAGAGTATCATGCTAGCAGTCATAACCTCTCATTCTTCATTTTCACTAACTGCCCTAGAAGACACTTTACAATGATGTTCTGAAAATAGTCAGGCAATGTAGTTTTGCAAAAACCAGAGAGCCCAGCATTAGCACAACATAAATAACATAATTGCAAACCTGTTGTCTTAGACTGAGACACTCAGTAAATAAGAGAAAATATTCAAGTAATAACCATCTGTATTTTTCTTTCATTTTTAAATAATTTAATACTTACATCTTGGTTATCACATCCCACCATCTCTCCATAAGATACCTATTTAAAAGAAAAATGAGTATTTTTACTATGAGTATGTAATAAGCATCTAAATCCAAATCAGTTGTTTATGATACTGTTAGAAAACAGGGAAATACAGTGAGTGAATAACATACAATTACCTTCAGAATCAGTAATGTGATTTTTTTCTAAAAGATTTATTGTGGGGCAAGAGTAGGGAGAGAGATACGGAAATTATCTGCTCTGTGAAAGTCTGAAAGAATTTGCTATGTAAATCACCTAGACCTGTGAGACTTTCTGTGTGTAGTTCTTACTGTAAAATGTTTAAGTTTCCTTCTTAGCTATTTACCTACTGAAGGTTTTTATTTCTTCTCAAGTAGAAAACAAACACATTCTTGCAGTTGACTGTCCATTTCCATAGTAGACACCAAACACATTCTTGCAGTTGACTGTCCATTTCACTGAAACTTACAAATTCATTATCATTACATGTATTTTCTCATTTTCCTTTTGATACTTATTACCAGCACTTCATAGCAGAACTTCCTAATTTTTTAATTCATTTAAGTTCTCAGTAGACTGAATGAACTATTCAGACTGCGTTAACTAGATGGCACGGGTTCTGATTCTCTGTGTGAGTGAGAACATCTTTATAAAGTCCTATGCATAGAAACAACTTTCTCTTGGGTATAAAGTTCTGAGGTGCTCTCAATTTTCCCCTCAAAGTTCTACAGACACATTTAATCGTCTTCTTGCTTTTTAGTGTTACAGAAAAAAAAATCTAAGTTCAATTTGATTCTTCCTGTGTTTACTGCCAGAATATTCACACAATATGCTTTCTCTTTTTTTTCTTAATAGAAGGCATGGGTGCTCGCTAGAGAGACGCAGACACAGAAAGTGAGAAATCACCCCCCTGGGGGGGATGGCCACACCACAATCCTTTCTCTTCTTGGGATTTTGGGCACACACACACACAAGTGCCTGGTGTGAGTTTCAAGCCTGTGGGCCTGGGACTCAAACTGCAGTCGGCCATGTGGGAGCCCAGGGACATAACCACTACATCTGCTGGACCCACACAATATGCTTTATTAATCAGTGATACCAAAAATGTGAAACAACAGCTAGCAAACTTAAACATTTTTAAAAATCAGACTGGTAACTCATATCATAATACACAATAAACTGCAAAGAGAATAAATATTTAAATATTAAAAAACTAAATTAGATAAAACAAGTAAAAACTAGTAGAAAATATAAGACAAATTAAATTTACCAGGGGAAAAGGGGAAAAGGAGGGGAAGTCTTCCTAAGTATATAAATGATCACTGACTCTACAAAGGAAAAGACCAACAGTCATAACTACATAAAACTGAAATTTCAGAATTCAAAAGTAAACCACACAAAATATTTATGATATACATAACAAAACAATAGAAAAATCAGCAATCATAAAGAAATAAATAAAAATGGTCAAAAAAAGTCCAATATTATTACTAATGTAAATGAAAATGATTACATAATACAAAAATTATCAATCCCGTACAAGGATTTTAAGAGAAAATAATAACCAGTGTTGGAGAGAACTGGGGAAACAGGCATGCTCATCAAGTTTTGGCAGTAAGTTTCTGGAAGATTCCTTAACCAGCCTGTAACAAATATGTATAGTTTTATTTCTAGAGAATTATCCTTGGAATTACATGTTATATTGGATTACATTAAAGATGCTTAGCATGTTTTTTGCAACTAAAATAATTAAAACCATTAAAATAACCTATAGTTAGATATTGGTTAATTTATGAGACATGTAACAATAAGAGATTAACTACAAGAAGATTTAACAAATGACCTTAACAACTTAAATTTATTATTATCTGGATTTAGCTTTTAAAAAAAAGCAAGTTACAAAACAGTGTGGTCCACGATTCCCCTTTCTCTCTCTCTCTCTCTCTCGCACACGCACACACACACACACACACACACACACACACACTGTATAATGTGTTATGGAATTAATACTATACACTACAAAATTCACGTTGAAATCTAACCCCCAGAGAGACCGTATTTAGAGACAGGGCTTGTGACGATGTGGTAAAACATAAACGAGGTCATAGGATATGGACCTAAAGTGACAGAGCTGGTGCCCTTATAAGACACCAGAACTCAGTCTCTGCCTGCCATGTGAGGACACAGTGAGAAGGCAACTGTCTGCAAGCTAGGAAGAGAGTCCTCACTAGGAACCAAATGGGCTGGCACCTTGATAGTTTACTCTCCGGCCCTTAGAATTGTGAGAAAGTAGGTTTCTACTGGTTAAGTCAGCTATTCTGTGGTATTTATCATGGCAGCCAATACGCATGTGGGGGATAGGGGTAGTGGTATATAAAAAAGTTTAATTACAGATTATATTTGAGAGTTGAGAATATGGGTGACTTACATTTCTTTCCACTGTATTTACAACAAACATGTCACTTTTAAAAGGAGGGGGTAGGGAACCAGCAGTTAGTGTAATGGCTATGTTGCTGGACTCCCATGTAGTCGACCGCAGTTCGTGTCCTGGACCCAGTGGCTTAAAACTCACGCCGGGCGCGTGTGCGTGCGTGCCCAAGATCCCGAGAGGAGAATGGAGGAGAAGGGATTGCGGCGTGACCATCCCCCCTGGGGGGTGATTTCTCGCTTTCTGTCTCTATGTCTCTCTCTGTCTGTCTGGCGAGCGCACGCGCCCTACAGTGAAAATCTCTCCAAAAAAAAAAAAAAAAAAAAAAGAAAAAAAAAGGAG